ATATTTATTTAATTATAAATTAAAAATTAAAATTAATCTTACTAGTAGCAATTGTATATACATATCTATCTGTAAATGGATAATACTTAAGTATTTTGGATTTTGCAGCATCTGCAGTATTTACTATAACTAATTCTGTTGATTTATTAATTATTTTTTCTAGTTTATTTATTAAAAAATTATAAACTGGAACACTAAGTGTAGAATATAATTAACCTTCAATATATTTAGTTCCTTTTTTAAAATGCTAAATAAAAATAATTTAGAATAATATTAAATAATTAGCAAAATATTATAAATAAAATTAACGACCTGCATTAAATTTAAAATTTCTTGAAGATATTTTATTCATCTTCTAATAATTTATATACTTCAAGTTCTTTATCAGCAAGTATAATATTTTTGATTGCCTAAATTATTTAAAATATAATTTATATATTAATTAATTTAATAAATAAAATAAAAATTTATTTAGTATAATATTTTTAATAATAAATTAAGTAAAAATAAATTATTACTTGTTTAAGAGTTAATGCTCTTTCAATCATCATACTTGTTGAATTCCAATAAGTATCATTATCAGAAATAAGTTGTAATAGCTTAAGTCCAATATCAATATACTGTTCAAAATTTTGTCGATACTGTGGTGATACTCTTATTTTAATAATAATTTTTTTTAGCTAAATATAGTATATTAAAATTAAGTTAGTATATAAATAATATAATATAATAATAATAATTAAATTAGTATATAAATAAAAGCATATATAAATAAAATAGTATAATAATAATAATTAAATTAGTATATAAATAATATAGTATAATAATAATAAAATAAACTTACTCAAAAAATAATATTATCTAATTTTTTTGTATCTTTATTTTTTAAAATTTTATTATTATTATCAAAATTATGTTTAATATAAAGTTGTTCTATAGATTTTTTTGCAGCCAAGTTAATTATATGAGCAAGGTATCTCACATATTGGTTTTCTAAATCACAATTAATATTTTGATTATTTAATTCAATTTTAATATATTTAAGCATTTTATCTATATTAGCTGTATTGTCACATGTAATTGCTAATAACTAAAAAAAATAATAATAAAATTTAATAATTTTTTAAAATTTAAATAATTAAAAAATTTAAATATTATCTTTAAGCTAATATTAAAATTATTTAAAACTTCTAAAAATTTTGTTACTAAGTTTTTTCTAGTATATGAACCAGATAAATAGCAAAAATCTAAAACAATTGATTGTAAAGTCTATTTATTATTAATCCAATAAATATTAATACCAAAAATGGTAATTGATTTTTACTAGTCTAATAATCAATAGTAAATGAAAATGAACTAAAAATATTTTGCAAAAATAAATTATATTAATCATATAGTATTAAAAATTAAAAATTATTATAATTTAAAATTAATAATATATTACTTGTAATTCTTGTTTAATTTGTTGTTGTGTTTTATTATAATGTTTATTTAAATCATTTCTAATTGTATTAGCTAATGGAATTTGAAGATTAGGTCATAAATATTTCAATATATCTTGAAATTCAGGATTTTTAAGTGTTGTAAATGCTTGTTTATCAAATACAATCCATTTTAATACATTTTTTCTAAATTCATTGGCTGTAAACTAAAAAATAAAAATAATATTTTAAATAAATTTTATTTAGATATAATATAATGTAAAAATTTAGTTATACATTTTACTCTGGTTATACTGATATTTGGATATAATGATATTATAGTAAAATCTGTCTATACCAACACTTTTTTTAAAAATTTAATATAAAATGTCAGTATAACTCACTGTATCAACATTTTGAATTTTTTTACTAATGACTCAAAAATGTTGATATAACTAGAATAACGTGTACTTCATTATTATGACTTGGTGAACTTTCAAGTTTTTCTTTATATTTACTTTTTAAATGCTTCAAAAATATTAATGTATGTCTTTTTAAATAAGAAGTACTATATATTTATAAAATATATTAATATTTAAACAATTATATATTTTAAATAAAAAATAAATATATTTATAATAATAAATAAACAATTTACAAGCAATATCCATATTACGATCTCAAATTAACATATTTAAAATAAGGATCTTGAATTAGTAATATTAGAAATACTACTCAAATTTGGTTCTTCATTTAAATCTTGAGATGAATCAACAATATCTGAAGTACTTGTTTCTCTATTTGTTTGAAATGAATTAACTGATATAAAAGAATCTTGTCTTGAAACCATCTTTAAAATCTAAAAAAATAATATTATTAAAAAATAATTAAAAATAAAATAAAAATATAAAATTAATAATAACAATGAATTTATATTAAAATTAATATAAAAAATATATTTATTAATTTATTTTAACTCTATACATTTATTTTTATAATATAATTATTATTAAA